ATACTTGAGTTACGGATTTCGGAAAAGGATTCCCTGAAGATTTGCTTTATATCTTGTGCAGCTAACTGCATTTAGGACTAAGCATTAGACTTCAACAGGAGAGATTAAGATTCAGGGTTAGGAATCTGGTCTGGTGGTTTGTCATGTCGTCATATTAGACATGGGTGCAGCATGGTTCCAAGTCTAGATCTTAACAACCCAGAAGGCCCCAAGTGTGATGAAGTCCAAAGCCACGTTCTCCCAGGGTGTTCTACTCCCTGGGCTGACTCCCTCGAAGTCCTTGCCATGAAGCAGATCACTGGGGGTGACTCTGGGCGTATTCAGTGATTTTTTGAGTTAAGGTCACCAAAGTGTATCAGAATAAAAAATGATATTTCAGAATCAGGGTTTAGAATGAAGGGTTAGAGATAAAATAGCATTTATACATTGCTCCGAACCCTAGTTAGGACTGACATGGGATGCAGATAACCTTCCAGTCTAGAGATCTGCCTCCTTCAAATGTGATATCCTCTCTCTCACTTCCAGACCACTGGGCCCAGGGGAGATGGGCATTTTCAGCAGGAAGTTTATCCCGACACCAATGACTCCAAAGACACCAAGAAGAGAAGAGTTTCCTGTGCAGATCATCTAAAAGAACCTGGACTCTTCTAGAAGGGGCGGACTAGAGTGACTACGTTTTCCTCCTAGGAGCCAAGGGTACTTCTTATAGTCTGTGGAGGGAATGTGAGATACCAGGGGTGTTTCTGGTTCCAACCCTTCCTGTGGCACGATCTCCCTTTTCACACGGCTGAATCCCAACCTCCCCTGGGCTAGAAGCTGTAAGGCCAGTTTCCTATGGACTTAGCTGCCACACTTCACAAGCATGGGAGGCACAGCGCAGGTGCTCAGATTCTCACAGAATTCTTTGCAAAATACGAAATTACTGCCATAGGATTTTAAGAGATAGTTTAATATATACTGCATATTTTATTGGTTTATTTTCCAAATGTTGGCCATAGAATTATTACAGTTTATTTTAAATCGTTTGAAATTTTTAAGAGATATTTTAATATACACTATACATTTTATTGGTTTATTTTGAGTATGTTGGCCATAGAATTACATTTATTTTGTACAGTTTTGAATTTTGTAGTATTGAAAACATGCTGTTCCTATAGAGTTTTGTGATGGTTGTTATAGTTGTTATAAACACATAAATATAATTCAGTTTTCATTTTTAAGAAAGGATTATTTTTATCCTAAATCTTTCATCTTTCAATTATTTTATTTATTATCATATGTGCTCCCAAAGCGAACACTCTTGTTATCTCTGATACTGACCTAACTTATCCATTATATTTATAGCTAGGTGGGAGTTCTTCTACATTCTTTTAGATAGACATTTTTATTTTCTGTTTAGTGTTTGTTACTGAATTGTGAGAATTTAGTTGTGATTTTTAGCATGTCTTACATATGTACTAACATATCCAATATACACTACACATTTTATGTGTTTATTTTGAAAATTATGGGCATAGAATTATTACTACATGTATTTAACTAATTTAGAGATACAAGTATTTTGGAAAAGACACTGTTTTTACGAAGTTGTGTAATGCTGTTATACCTTTCATATACACATAAACAGAATTCTGTTTTCATTTTCAAAAGATGATTATTTTATCCTAAATGTTTTATTTTTAAATCTTTTTATTACATGTGTTGCTGAAGCACTGTGTTTACTTAGTATAGTTACATAATATATCTATTATATTTTTAGCTAGATGGCATTTACCCTAAATTCTTGTAAAAATAAATTTTTATTTGATGCTTAGTGTTTGTTATTGAATTGTGAGAATTCCTACCCATTTTTTACCTTGTATTGTAAGGTTTGTGTGTTACTTTAAAGAGGACGTGTGTTTGAAAGGGAGTCGGGAGCTGTGTGTTTTAAAGAGGACAGTGCAGTGCACTGCCCAGGAAAATGCAATAAAGATGAAGTTTTCTCACCTTCACAATGACTGTGATCAGACTGATCTGGATTTCTTATTTGTTGTCCAATAACATTTTTGTTTAATGAGGTTTTAGTTATTTGAACAAATTTATTAACTCTGGAAAACAATGCTGAGTCATTTTTCCTTTTTTTTTTTTTTT